GGTTGAACTGGATCATCGAAGGTCAGAAGCAAAGAGAATGGGATTAAATACATAAAGGATATTTGTGTTGTTTAACATTTAATTATTGCAGGTTTGCGTCATATTCTGAATTGCATTATTTTTATTCATTTTGAGGAATACTGAATCTGTGTTTTTGTGAGTGAGATGAATTAATGCATATTCATATTTATTTTAGAACTACAGTAACATCTTCTGATTTCTCAACATGGGGATAGGAGAGCTGTCAGTCAATAAATTGGAAAAAAAAGTAACTTGCGTTACTTATTTGAAAAAGTAACTCAGATATTCTCTTGTAAATTAAAAAGTAATGCGTTACTTTACTAGTTACTTGAAAAAAGTAATCTGATTACGTAACTCGCGTTACTTGTAATGCGTTACCCCCAACACTGCATATATACATATATATATATATATACCAAGCATGTATAGGTTTTACAGCCCCAATTCCAGAGAAGTTGGGACATTTTGTAAAATGCAATAAAATCAAGAATCTGTGATTTGTTCATTCTCTTTAACTTTTATTTAATTGACAAAAGTACAAAGAAAAGATTTCCAAAGTTTTCACTGACCAACGTAAATGTATTTTTAAAATATGAACAAATTTAGATTTTGACGGCTGCAACACACTCCAAAAAAGTTGGGACAGAGGCATGTTTAACACTGTCACATCAACGGTCCTTTTAATTACAATGTTTAATTGTTTAGGAATTGAGGATACTAATTGTTAAAGTTCTGCAAGCAAAAGTTTTGTCCAATCTCGCTTGCTACAAGACTTCAGATGCTCAGCAGTCTGTGATTGTTGTTGTCTGATTCTCCTTTTCATGATGAGCCATACATATTCAATAGGAGACGGATCTGCTGGCCAGTCTAGCACATTCACTCTGTCTACGAAACCACGCTGTTGTAGCACATGCAGAATGAGAGCTGACATTGTCTTGATCTAATAACAATGGACTTCCCATGAAAAACATCATCTTGATGGCAGTATATTTCTCTGTACAATCCCAGTACATGCCTCCATGTCAATAGTACCTTCGCACATATTCCAGTCACCCATGCCGTTTGCACTGATGCACTCATTTACCATGACAGACGTTTGCTTTTGCTTCTGTCGCTAATGAAAGTATGGATGGTCCCTTTGGTCTTTGGGACTGAGAACAGCACACATTTTCACTGTCTTTTTGACTATCTGAGATGAGCTCTGGCCCAGAGAACCCGACAGCATCACTGCATAGAATTAATGTAGGCCTATAGCTTTCTCCTGGAGTAACAGATATTCAAGTTGCATTGCTTGATGCAGCAGCAGACTGTGGTAAATGACAGTGGTTTTCTGAAGTACTCCCGAGCCCATGTGGCTATATTTAACACAGCAGCATGACGGTATCTTAGGCTGCGTTTACACTGGCACAAAAAATCCGATCTTTCGCTCACATCTGACACAGATCGGAATTTGTTGCACACGTGTAAACACAAAAACCCGCACGAGATCTGTTTTTTTTGCATCTGACCTGAGCCACTTCCAAATGTGGATTTTAATCGGATACACATCTGATATCTGGACATCCGACCTACGTCTAAACACACATATCCGATTCTCCACAGAACTCCCAATGCGAGGGCGACACGTTTGCTCATAAAGATTTTTAATGGCGTTTTAATGCCGGCGTGCTGTATGCGCTTGCATTTTATTGAGATGGAAACTTTTTATAGGCAAGAAATTGCACATTCAGGAGCTGGTTTCAACCCCCGCCCTGTGAATTTTGAAAATACAACAGCTAAAAGCTACATATATTTCTCAGCAATGAGGTGAGAACTTAGCAGTTTTTGTAATTAAACCAACAAGCTTGTTTGCAATGCTTCACAATCGCTCGCTCGCACGTGGGTGCATGCGTTAGTTCTCTCTCTCTCTCTCTCTCTCTCTCATTTATTCGAATTCATTTCAATATCATCTTTATTTCACTAAAGAATTCTACCTCTAACGAGCTGTAGATAAAATAGTCTAACAAATTAAAATTACCGTTATTTTCCGGTCTTTATCCGTTCAGTCAGATTTTGTGCTGCAAAACATCCATGACAGCCGTTGTCCATGCTGGCAAATAATAATGGCCATTCGACATGAATTATATAAATAATTTTAAAAGCACGGCCATTTAAAACCCGAGGGTCTACCATGTGCATAGTAAAGCGATCACTGCAGACAATCCTTTTGGGTGGGAATTAATGTAAACACAGATATCGGATACCAGTCGTGTCTAAAGTGAATTTATATAAATAATTTTAACGGCCATTTAAAACCCGAGGGTCTACCATGTGCATAGTAAAGCGATCACTGCAGCCAATCCTTTTGGGTGGGAATTAATGTAAACACAGATATCGGATACCAGTCATGTCTAAAGTGAATGTAAACAGACGTGCCAAAAAATCGGAGATGGTCAATAGATCGGATCTGTGCATTAAGACTTGCAATGTAAACGCAGCCTTATGCAATGCCATCTGAGGGCTCAAAGGTCAAGCACATTCAACTGAGGTTTCCTGCCTTGCCCTACATGTACTGAGATTTCTCTGGATTCCCTGAATCTTTTCACAATATTATGTATGGTACTTTATGAAAGACCTAAATTCTTTGCAATTTTGCATTGCGAAATGTGATTTTTGATTTGTTTGACACTTCTCTTGTGAAATTTGGCACAAAGTGATGAGCCATGATCCAGCTTTGCTTGCAAAGACTGAAATGCTCCTTTTATACCCAAACATGGTACCTTGACCTATTACCAATTCACCTGCTTACTGTGAGCTGTTTCAAAACAGTTTAACGTGGATATTCTATAACCTTTTCACTTTTATTTTGACCTCTGTCCCAACTTTTTGGGAATGTGTTGCAGCCGTCAAAAACAAAATTTGTTCATATTTACAAAATACATTTACGTTGGTCAGTGAAATCTTTGGAAATCTTTTCTTTGTACTTTTGTCAATTAAATAAAAGTTAAAGAGAATGAACAAATCACAGATTCTTGATTTTATTGCATTTTACAAAATGTCCCAACTTCTCTGGAATTGGGGTTATAT